GAAGGACTTCTAAGAGAAGCTGGCTCGTATCTACGTTACACATAAGGAAGACAACGAAAGCGCCGATGCAACCAGCCCTTTCGCCGGGATTTCCACCTGGGTAGAATTGCCAGTCAAATAGCGACTTTACACAATTCGGCCGCTGTGGAAATAATGGATTGTTTCTACTTCATAATTTGGTAAATCTAATAACCGCATAATACAAAATGCAGTGAAAATTAATGTGAGAAGAAAAAAATCTTGTCCTAACGATTTTCCACTGAAAACATTTTACCAACAGAAAATGAAGCAGTGATGAAGTATGTTTGTACTAATTAGTCCCGAGGCTAACGTTGAAATAAAAAAGCCCTGCTCTTCTTATCATAGCTTAGGAGCGCTAAAAATCGCATCTTTCTAGAAACAACTTCTAGGCTTGCCGCAGCGTTTGCAAGAAAGCTGAGTCAACGATGATATCATTGGCTGCGTGTATCATCCTCGCCTGCTTCTACATAAGTATCGCATTCTTTCGCTATTTTAGCATCAAAAAAGAACGCTTTCATTCTTTTTCCCAAATTCTAATATGTAGCTTGCTCGAGCTGTTAAATCAGAATTCAGGGAAGTTTTTCTAAATATGGCTGGCTAATGCTCCTTTGATGCTGATCTGCCTTACGTAAATCGTTAAATTTTGTAAAATGTTTGATTTCGTTTTTTTTTTAATTTTTTTTTGTTATACTCTTTCAGATCTTCTGTTCTTTCCCAGCTCGCTAAGCAAATAGCTTCGTGAAGAAGAGAAGATGACACAAGTGGAAAGACACAAGTGGAAAAAAAAAATCATTTACCAATTTGACACTAAATTAACGATTTTTATTCTCAGCTCTACTTCTTACTCCGATTTTAAATTCGTGAAGAAATCTTATGCCCTTCGCATAATAAAACATAAAATCATACAATGATCTTTTCAAAGCTGAATGGAAATAAAATGATGACTAAATAAGAATTTATCCGAACAAAGGAATATAGCCTGACCAGTCTGACGAAAGGTTGATTCGTTGTTGCCAGACTCAAAAGCTTCAGTTTCGAGGATTGTTCCACAAAGAGCTCAAGTAGAGATCTCAAATCATGATAAGCTTATTTCTCTGGCTATCAGACACTGTCTAGATTACGATTAGCTGAGAATGAAATTTCAAGTTCATAAGTAATAATAAAAGAAATTTCTACGGAAGATATAAGTTAACTTCTCGAGAGTCTTTTCATAACTTTCAGCTTCCATTTCTAGCATTAGACCAAAGAGCAGCAGAGCGGTAATGTTGATGAATACTGGTAATTATGAATTGATGAATATTGGTAATGTTGACTACACACACTACAAAGTGTGCTATTATACGATGTTACTAACTCTTAGTTTGCTCGGCATCTTCTCTACTCCCTTTAGGTCTACGTTTCGCCGACTTTCATAAAGTAAGTTACTTAAAAGATGGGAAGAGGCTGACCTTGTTCATCTACCTATCTTGGTACGACTCGCTTTCACTGGTTGAATGAAAGTTTTCTTGGTTTTCTCCAAGTATAACGTGAATACGAGCCATTTTACCCCAAAGTCCACTATGAAGGCATTCTTTTCCTCAGGCAGATAGATGATCGCTTCATAACACTTTTCTACATTAAAAATACGATAAATTTTACTTAAGAATAATCTTCAAATACCTAGCGTTGATTTCATAAAATGTTTGCCTAGACAATTAGTTATAACTATACTTACAAAGAAAAGCAAAACTTGTTTTTAAGTACTAAATGGAGATTTTCTCTTGTGAATTTTCAGTGCAAAAGGAAATAATAAAAAGAGAGCGAAACTGCAAATAAGATGTTGCTTTCTATCCAACGGGAAGAAGAGAGATTAAAACACTATTAAACAATTCAAAACATGAGAAATTCTAGTATGCTTTGATTTCCCAGCTGTCTTATGCATGCAATGCATTCAAACCTAAATTCCCAACTTTAATACTCTGCAAATTTCCTTTCTAAGATATTGTGAATGACAGAATTTTTAACCAAATGTCGAATTTCAAATTTTTTTCTTCGTATTTCTTATTTTCAAGTAAAATTGTTCTATTTTTCTCATATTTAAATAATTTTATACTATATTCCGGTAGAATTTTGACTCACCAGCGGCCGAGCGGTAAAGTCGCTGAACACTGATAGTTCAGTCCGAAGTTCGAATCCCGCGAACGGGCTGGCTGCATGGAATTTTTCGTGGTTTTCTCATGTGTAACGTGTATACGAGCCAGTTTCCCTTAGAAAGTCCTCGACGAAGGCATCTCCTCCCTTAGGCAGATAGCTCTTGAGGCTTTGCCATAATCGCATAAACCAAAAACCTTTAGAACTTCCGAAAATATATATTGCAAAGTGTAATCCTACCGAAAACAAAACTTTGAATTAATGCGTTTTCCTACAATTCTGGAAAACGGTAAAGTCATTTCCCGAAGTGTTGTTCTCCGTTGCCCATCAATATATAGAAAAAACAATCGTCGTCGAACGGTTTCCTTTCAAAAACATGCTGCTAAATGAAAAAGACTGAGCAATGTATAAAAACATAATCCAATTCATAATAATCTAAATATGCGCTGTGAATATTTTTGAAATCTTAATCTTAACATGCGGTATTGAATAAGTTTTCAGAATTTGATTGCTTATAAATTTCATTTAAAAATTTATCATATAATGCTTAGTTAGTTACTAATAATTTGTGTTATAGTTTCATTTCTAGTAGATATACCACCTCCACTCTCTCGCAAGATATTAATATAAGGTCTCTAACTGCGAAACTATTAGTGTAAATGAGGCCACGGATATTTTATGAATTTTGCAACTAATCTCGCAACTGATAGAGAATTATCTTTTCTCCGCATAAAATTAGTATCCTTGCAACAAAAATTGTAAATGAAGTGTTGGCAATTATTTCTACTCTATAATCACATTTAAATACATATTTTAAGTAAACTCTATCGCATTTAATAAATGGAAAACAAAAACGAGATTAATCATAAAATGTGAAAACCAATTAATTTAAAAGAAAAATATATTTAGAATTAATTTGTTTCAACAATGATACGAAATTAGATAATATCAAAAAGTAATCCAATTTAAATATTCGTATAAACTGAGGATTCATAAACGACCCTACTTCCCCTTTACGAGATTTGAAAGCTCCAAGCATCGATGGAGGAGTTCCCAATTATTATCTTTACATTGGTCCCTTTTAAAAGAATGGTTTTCTTCATCAACTACCTTACATTTTTTTGTTTTGTTTTTGTAATGTGCAACGTGTAACTTAATCATGATATAACTTTAAAGATAACAAGAGACTAAGAATATGAATAAAAGTTGTGAAAAAGCGATTTGTTTATGTTCCATTATTTTTTGTATTATTATTGGTTTAATTTTACAAATGCAAACAAGTTCTCAAGCACAATCAAGCTGTAACTGCCCAAAGCTCGGTTTTAATTAATGTGATAACTACGCTTAATGCGAGGATGAAAGTTTAACATCGGACATAGCTTAACATTCTTAAGCCGCATCATTCAAAAAATATTCAACCTATTTCGTGTTTTCCGTGGTAAATTGATGACTTAATTAAAACCTGCTTCTACTAGGTAAGAGGGTTTGGTTTACATGATTTGTGGTAAAGCATAAAAGAGATATCTGCTAAAAAAAGGGATGCTTTCGTGGAGAGCTTTCTAAGGAAAACTGGCTCGTATTCACGTTACACATTGCGAAAACTAACCATGCAGCCAGCTTATTCATCTGGGTTCGAATCCGGGGCTAACTATCAATGCTCAGCAATTTTACCACAGGTAAGAGGGATACATCAACGCTGGTTTGGTAGTAACTTTTATTTTAGAAAATTTCCGTCTGGTGACTTAAATTCCAAAACTTAGCCCATGTTCTTTGAATAATTGCTTAACATCCTGCTTCAATGCAATCAACTCTTCTTGCATCATAATATCAAGATCAAATAGATTGCAATTCGGCGTTTCTATCAGCCACGGTGGCACATTCGAATTTTCAGCGTCTTGGGCTCTAACATTAAAACTTTCTTTTAAATTCTGCAAGTGACTTGTACATAACAATTCTTCTGAGGAAGATTTGCGTATTTTTTTGGCTATGTTTTCTTGTGTTCTTGCATTTTTCTTTTTTACATCGCATTTATTGCATAAAAAATGTATAAACAAAATTTTTAATTTTAAAATAAAAAAAATGTGTATTTCTCTTAAATGTATTTTGTGACTTCTTCCTTACTAAATGGTATAGCTTTATATCAGTAATAATTAGTTATCAATTTTATAAATATTTTTTTTTTTTTTTTTTTGTAATCGATGGGATCTTGATTATGACGACTGGACGTCGATAGCCCAATATGCTGTTGACGTCCAGTTGACCTCTTGATCATCACTGAACCCCTTTAAAATTCCATCGACTCCCGCAGTGGGTCCATAGCGTAAAGCGTGAAAGGCAATTAGAAAATGATATTGCATAGCCATTATAAAACATAGATTTGCATTCCTTAAAAGTAATAATAACAGAAATTTCAGGTTTGTAGTTTTATATATCAAAACCTTCTCGCTCAGTTTCTAATAATCTTCAACACAAGTGCCACTGGTCGGACATCCAGACAAACAATGACTGATTTCAATCCGCTTGGAAATGTTAAGAAAAGGGATTAAATGTGGAAATTAGGATTCTTTTTGTGATTTCAAATGAAATAGAAAAATTTCTTAATTATTAATTCAAAATTTTTGCCAAACATTTGACAAATTTTAGTTATTTTTTAATTCTGTAAGACAATGGTTCCAAAGTACAGATTAAGGGACAATTTTCGGACCGTCATTAAAGGTTTGAGGTTCTTTCTATTATAATGTATTTATGTATATTTATACTTATTGATAAATTTATACTGGTTAATTAATAACATAGCTATTCTTTTATTACATTTTTTCTATAATTCTTCTCGTTACTATTATTTTCAGAGCAATTGGACATTAAAAGAATGTTCACACGTGGGATCTGCGAGGCACAAGTGGCGTAATTCGAACTTCTTTGCTAAACAACCAGACCTTGTTGCGTCATGTAAACTGGTATGAGGATTTAGTCTAAACATTCTAACTATATTGTTCTTAATATCATTCTAAATGTTCTAACTTAATGCCAACCCGTTACAAGAACCGACCAGTCAAGCGAAGAAAACACGAATTGGCATTCTGTCGACGATTTCGCTGAATCAGCTGCACATTCATGTATGCGCAATTTTACCTCCCCTGATTGTCTATGGTCTGTCTATAAAACATGCTCAACAGGTGTGAACAGACCTTAAGTCTGAACCATTTCTAAATGAGACACAATGCTAAAATGTTTGGCATGCACTGGTCTAATCAACACGCTTTAACACACTGAAAACTAAAGGAGATGCACTGCGATTTTCTTAACATATAGCATTTTGAACATAACATAACATTTTGAACACAACTCTTAAAAAAAAATAGTCTAAAGAACACGTCCAAACTTGTAAATATGACTAAAAGCTGAAGACGATGAACAATAACTAAAACAGTGACTTCACTCTAATCATCACTTGGCCCACCAGTGGCCGAGCGGTAAAGTCGCTGAACACTGGTAGTTCGGTCCGAGTTTCGAATCCCGCGAACGGGCTGGCTGCATGGGCGTTTTCGTGGTTTTCCCCATGTGTAACGTGCATACGAGCCAGTTTCCCTTAGAATGTCCTCCACGAAGGCATCCATCCCCTTAGGCAGAAAGCCCTAGTGTGCTTTGCCGTAATTAAACAAACCAAACCTAATCATCACATTCGAATGATCGGTCAGAAAGATGCATCTGTGATTCTCTCTCATGGAATCGTCAGTTTTTATCTCCGCGATTAATGTGAGGGTTTAGTTTCGAAAACTGTTTACGAATAAGAGATAAGGCGAGCGTATTCATTTTGTAAACAAGAAACACTTCTTTTATTTCTAAAATAGAACTTTATAACATCCCCCCTTTTTTTATCTTTAAAGAACTTTGTGTTGATTCAAATAATTTTGAAACTTGTTTTTCTCGTTGTAGATACTACAAAAATAATAAAATGGAGTCCCAGGTGGTTTCCAAGAAACATACGGAAGCATTATACGTACAGGGTTTCCCTTCTTCAAAATTTCGGAGACATTTCAAGTCTGAAATCATGCTAAGCAACAAGAAACGTTATTCTACATCTATGCAACTACATAAAAAAGGTACGGTCTGCTTCTTTTATTTTGTTTCTATCGGAAAGAGCGGTTTGGCTATTTTACTCGTGCTGTTATTATTTTAAAATACTAATTCCAGTCAGTTGGTTAAAAATTTTTTAAGAAAACCCTTAAAATTGAAAACAATTATTTTTTTTCTGTTTAATGTCGATGTTTTGCGGACTTCTACATAATTTTGCTATGTAGAAGTTATAATTTCTTCTATTATACTTTTAAGAATATGCACTTTTTGTTTTATTTGGTACAGTGAAACTAAGAGCAAACTAGAAAAAGATAAGGTTTTAATTAGAAACTTCAAAACATGCGGGTGCATAAACTTTGCATAAAGCCGACTACATATAAAGAGTAAGCCAAAAGATGTGTGAACACTTTTAGTTTCTGAAATTTGTTTATAAAAATTTTGTTTATTAAATGCAAATTGTGAAATATAATCAAGACGATTACCCACGTTTTCAGGTGAATTTGATCTTCTGTGCTGGTAGTTGCCAAAAGAACACGATTGTCATTGGCTTCAGTACCATTATTTATGTTCTTAAGAAAACTGGTTACTCTCAAATGTGGTCATCTTTAACGTTGGTTGTTTGGTACATTTGTGGCACCTGACCTCAAAGTTTATCATACAGCAGGTCTTTAAGAAGGTTATCATCATGAGGGGTTTCAGACATTTATGCGTCAAATTAAAAAATATGTAAAGCAGAAATGTATTTGGAATTTGAAACTCAAATATTCGCAATAGAGAAAAGGGGTATAGTCATTTGATCAAGCACAGATGTGACTGAATTAAATAATTAACTGCGAGCTAAAAATTTATTTGGCTATCCCAGTCTTGTTCTGAGAATCAAATTGCAGTAGCTGCGATACATACGAGTAATATTTGAGTGAAATCATTTGGCTGCTTTTCTGTAGAGAGAAAAAGGGCAGTTATTAATTTACTAGAGAATCAGTAGAGATAATGTAAATATTTTTTGTATTTAAAGTAAAAGAGAATGAATATAAAAACTGCATATAAAGGAGAACAACTGATTGTGTACATACGAAGCAAGCAAGTTTTAATAATAGGTACATTAATACGTTTTTTAATAATGCTAAGATTACAAGAAAATTAGTGGAACAATACTAAAGTTTCTTGTTTACTTTAATAAGGAAAGTCATTGAGAAATGAAGCAGAAAGTATCGAAAGATTTGTAAAGTATCTATTAAATGGCAGAAGAATTTCATCTGAAGACCTCAGAGATGAGCTGCGTGTAACTAGTGCTCCTTTAACTTAACGATAAAGATAGAGCTATCATATCATATAGTATATTTACAGGTGCGGTCTAGAGGAAAAAGCCGTATATTAACAAGATTTAACATTTTAAAACTCATCGTTTACAAATTTATACAAAGTGTTAATTTTACTTTAAATCATCACCTGAAAACGATTCTCCATTTGGCAAAATGTTTTTATCCACGTTGCAGAATTTGAATTCTCATAAACTAAATGATAATGTTTAAGTCAAATGACCTCGATGATCTTCGAATTGAGGCATCACTTTGTCGACCATGTGCTAGAGAAGGCTGCTGATTTAAGCAACTTTGACAGAAACCAGATTTTTATGCTCCGAAGGTTTCGAAGGAGTATCTCAGAAACGTCACTGCTTGTCAGGCGGCTGTGACCTAATATTAGATCCTATGAAAAAAGACTGCAGAAACAGTAGTAGATGACAAGGTGTTCGACTTCTTTGCTTATCGAATATCTGATGTCGAAGAATTTTCATTTGATTACAACAAATAGGCGGTTACCAGTGCCTCAACTGACGTTTATATTTTTCTACTGACGAGACACTAGTCTAAATAGAATATATATTATCAGCCGATTATACCTTGTTAACGCATCTAACGTAATTTTTATTGCTAAGATCATATCCCCAATTGGAGAATAATTTTGGAAATTTGAGATTTTTTTCAAGAATTGGAATAGTTTTCATTGCTTGTTTTGCCAAAAGGTCAATCAGTTCATTCCCCCTTTTACAACACTGAGTTTTACCTAGAACAAATTAATGGAAATTTGGTAGATTTCCACTAGGACATCGAAATCTGTTGAACGATGTTTTGAACTATTCAGACAATCTTTCAGTGTCAGAATTGCACCTTGACAAACTGAGAAATTGTAAAAATTTCTCTTAGATACACTATTGTTTGGTCTTAGACAACCTTTCCAGGTCTCGAAATTTTCTGCGGAAATAATGCAGGTCCAAGTAACCCAAGTGTCTCTGGCACACTTTATTGGATTCTGTTGAATAGGGACTGCATAGCGGAGACCCTTGTTATACATGTCTGTTAATAGAGTATTATCAACATTTACTACTGCAGAGGGCTCCTGATCACCATAATGAAGCAATAAAAAACGTTTGTCTTTCTTGGAAGAAGTTGATTGACACATGTGCCGCAATATGTAAAGAAGCCAGTGGTCGCTTTGAGTAATATTTTCGCGGTCGTCCCTGGGATTGATGGTTGTTGTAAAACCCACCATAACTGCTGCAGACTATGCGAATATTATTACTAATCCACATTTACTAATCGGTTACATGCTTTCGGGGCATTTGCCTTGTCAATCGAAAATAAATTCTTCCAGCAGCTCGGTGCTCTTTGTCAGAAGGCCAGATTTGTACTGTTGTGATGATGAGTTCCAGCTTATGTCCTCGAATCGTAACTGAACGTATACTATTATTCTTATTGAGTATTGCTGGGATGCCATGGAGCGCTAGCTCAGAACTTGCCAGCCTTCGCGTAATCGCTAAGAATCGCGTCTGCCTTCCAAATCGTAAATAATCTTCTTCCGGTTCCTTACTAAGACTTAAAGTCGATTTGGTTTATTTGATCTGATTACGGCACAAGTACACGAGGGCTATCTACCCAAGAGGCATGCCTTCTTGAAGGAGTTTCTAGACGAAACTAGCTTGTATCCACGTTACATCATGGAGAAAACCATGAAAACGATCATGCACTCAGTCCGTACATTTGGAATCGAACCCATGTCAAACTACCGGTGTTCGACCGCTCCGTCGCTGGTGGGCCTAAGACTTGCATGCTATAATGGGTTTCAGCTGTTTCGCTTGCCCAAAGGTAATGCATCATGGTATTAGGTAGAGGCTCGTATTGTTTTGACAGATTATGATGGTTTATGAACTTGAGTATTATTACACAACAAATATGAAATGTGTTTTATAGCACCCATTTAAATTCGTATATGCAAATAAATGTAATTTTAAAAAAATTAAATTTTACGATAAGCCCTCCCGTAAATTATCCAGCATTGCATTTAATTCCAGTGAGTAAATTTGTTTGATTTTTCCATTGCATGTTACTTTAATTTTCGTGATATATTTTTCATTTTTTTTAATATCGTATAATTCCATGAAGTTGCACCTTCAGCAGTTTCATTTACTAAAAATGTTGCGTTTCTTCACGGTCATCTTGAGTACTTCAACAGCCAAGCGGTAAAACTTTTGAAATATCAAAGCTTTTAAAATTGCATGTTGCTTAAAGAAATTCAGTTTCAGTTTTCCTCGTATTTAAGGTTTCTGCTTTGTTTTTCAGAATTATATAATAATTGTTTATTTTTCATAAGTGTTTATCTTTTTATGAAGTTATATGCATTCACATCACAATCCAGTGTCCTTCACTACATTAACAGTTAATTTTCTTAATTTTAGTACTGAAAGTAGCGTTTTCCTTTTCCAAGTTAGATATCTCATTTGGCGTTATTTATTTTGATAAACCTCAATTAGTTTCATTACGCATTTAATTTTTGATTTAGCAAACATACTAATAGAATCTATATAAAGCGCCTGGCAGTAAAAACTATTGCTATGAAATTTCATGTGCTATTTTATTATTATATATACTTTTTATTAATTTAATGTATATATAGCTTTTTGCTGCCCTTTATTTTCAGGGGCTGTCTGAAGTCATACAAATAATACGCTAAAAATAATCCTAATAAGCTAAAAGGTGCTTCGTATCATATCGTGTGCTCGCAAAGTCTAACAGTCCTTGATCGACCAACAAGTTCCATTTCCTTCTCGACCTGTGTGTACACGACATGTGTTGCCTATTGAACAATTGCCACACCAGTGGCCGAGTAATTAAGACAGCTGAATACTGGTAGTTCGATCTGGTTTGTGTCGTTCCCCAGGCGAACGAACTAGCTGAATGAAGTGAATACCAGCCAGTTCCTCTCGGAAAATCCTCTATGAATGCATTTCTCATCGTAGGCAGATAGCCCTTGTGGATTTGCTGTATCCAAGTAATCCAACCTAACCTATTGAATAATTTTAGAAACCGCACGAAGACCATACAATTCTTGAAAGAACTGGTGCGAAAAGAGCCTTAGTATTAAAAAGCTTGGGGAGAGATCTAAGATCTTATTGAAACAATCCTGAATGTATCAGTGAAAAATAACGTGAAATGTTAATTCATTTTAGAAGTAGGCTATATGTACTGAGAATTTTAAATGGCCATTTAATTTTCAAGTTGCAATTCCAAAAACAAATACAGCTGTTCAACGTGTTTCTTAACAAATGTTCTGAGGATGAGACGAAATGAATTGAGACGGAGAAAACCAACTACAGTAAAGACCTATTTTAAAGATCTATCTTGCGCTGGATTATGTACCGGTAGAAGAAAAATTCATAGAGATATCCGTTATAGTAATAAACATTCCAGTAAATCTAAATATATAGTTTGGTATGGTGCATTTCAAAAGGGGGAACTTTTCTTAAACATGTTTAAAAATAGTTACAAATCAAAGTGAGATTTAACTCGAATATGCATGTATTTAGAATAAACTAATATATATTTAAGGTGCAATTCATAGAGAATATTTATTATTGATTGTCTTAATTTTCAAATTAACCCGTAGGTTTTCCAAAATATTACCAGGTTTTACTTCCTTGTACGAAGTAAAGGAAGTATTGTAATCGCGAAAAATTTCGAGTATCATATTTCAACGAAACTATCAATTTTAACCGCTCTCGAATCCATCTGAACAATGTTTTTGTTTGATAACTTTATGTACGGACAGAATAAAGATCTTTTTCTCAAAACGGATTAAAAATTGGATTTAAAATGGATTCAGAAGAGATTTTTTTCGTGACGTCTGTACGTACGTACGTATGTACCTCGCATAACTCAAAAACGTGTAGCTTCAAAACGTTGAAATTTTGTATATGGGACTTCTATAACATGTAGTTGTGCACCTCCCTTTTTGGTTACAATCGACTGCACCAAAAGTATATATATATACCCAGTATGTTATTCAGTTCGGCGATTTCAGTGTTTATATTCTTATGTTGGTAAATTCTGCATTTTTGTTTAAAAGTGATTGATTTATGTTCTTATGTTCTACTTAAGTTTTTATGCCCTTAGTTAATCTGCATGCAATAGTTGTAGAAGTATTAACAATTTAAATGTTTAAGTTCGACTAAGCCTAATATCTCAGCCATGCTTGTTTATATTTGAAACTTAATTTTTATTTGAAAATAGTGAGTTAAGTCAGTTTCTGCACCTTCAGTGTCTTTTTGCCGAGTAGGACCATAAATAAGTTTTCAGTTTTGCGCCCCAAAAATCCGCCATCTCGTATGCCGGCCGAATTGTTTGATTTTGCGTAGAAACTCTAATTTTAACATAATTTTTTAAACTCTTTTACTGTGGTTTTTTACGTTTTTCTATATTTTTCAATTTTTAATTGTGTTTTGAGTTTTTATTTATTTTTGTCCTGCCACGAAATGAGAACTTAATTGAATCAGAAATATATCTAATGGAATTCGAGGAAGTAATTTTAAATAATATGCAGCAAAAAATTAGTATAAAGTTATAGGTTGCACGAGAAAGTCACATGGTGTCTACAGCAGGTTTTTTAGTAAAAATGTTTAAAGCCGAATTTTTTTTTTTTTTTGAGCAAAATGTTTGAAAGAGAGGTAACTCATGTTGAATAGGTTAACTGCTGTAAATCTACTTCCCTATTTACTACCCTGAACTCTACCTACTTTCCTATTATGAACTATGAGTTTTATTCGAGACTATGAATACTCATCATAGTCAGTTACCAAAAATTTTTCAAACAGAACAAAATGATAACATCGGATAAATGTTTTTCTCTTAAAGACAGATTCTTATTAAATTACGAATTACATACTGATTTTAATTGCATTAGAATTTGAGTCATTCCCTATCATAGTCATGAGTAGCAACGTTTGATTCATGTATGTGGATTAAAGAATATGAATTCATCCTTAGGTAATGAGTCACAGTTCTCTGAGACAATAGTTATTGAAACTTCTTGGATCCATAATTACGTTTCAAGTTTGGAATATGATAACGACTATCAAGAACTAAAATTCGTGAGTGGAATTGAGTTGGAAATTCTCCCCAAAAGTCAGCCTTTAGATTATCCATCTAGGACTTTGAGTGCGGGGAAAGTATGGCGAGATGCATTTAAAAGACTGTAACTGTTTAATATATCATTTCACTTGTTCGAGTTTTCCGATGTTTGTAGAATAACTGCAAAATAAATTATGTAAACGTATTGCCAATAAAGATGTTATTTTGAACCCCTTTTTATGATTTCTGTATTTATTTTTGACAGATAATGGTTTCACCGACAGCAAAGACATCTTTAAATATTATTTAAACCAGTGATTCTGAACCTTTTTAAGCTGCCGCCCCCTAAGGAGCGAAAAATGTTTCAACGCTCCATATGTGAAAATCCTGTAATTTAGGGTATGGGAAAGGGGGTTTCCTGAGTTATAAAAGATAAAAATTGCAAGTAATTTTTTTTCAGTAGACTTGCACCCCAAATTTGCTTGTTTAATTCAACAGTTTTTCCCTGGAAGATAATTACATTCCTTTGGTTAAAACTAAAAATACTTAATAAAAAAAAAAAAAAAAAAAAAAAAAAAAAAAATTAAACGATCTTTCATGTTAAAAAAATTCTTCATTTTTAATTAAATAATTAAAAAACAGTAAAAAATACACTAAACGAGTATTATCAATGAAAAATCAAGTATCAAGTATGATTAGTGGGATGTTTGCTCTTGCTATTTCAGAGCCATTTCTTCAACATTCGTTTCAATATTTTTAGACAGATTGAAGGCGCAAGTCCCCTCTTTCCACGATTTGGAATCGACTTGTCTTTCTATAATTAGATCAGTCACAGCACTGAATCCTCGCTCGACGAGGTAGGAGGAAGAAAAGGCAATTAAAACATTTTTGACGGTAGTCCACAATCCTGGATAGAAGCGACTGATGCTACTTTGAAGCCAAATTCTGGGAGATGATCAGCATTCTGGGAGCTAGATTTCAAAGTTTCAAATCTGAACATCTGCTTTCTCAATAGTAGTGAAAGGTTCGTGATCCATTGAGGGACTTTCAGGGATAAAATATCCTCTAAACGCTTAGAAAAGTCCTTGTGCAAAGAATCAAAATATTGACAGTAAACTTATGTTGCGTCGTACGGGATTTCACTGCTCTTATGCAGATCCGACAAGATCGGAAACTGTCTTGAGTTCTTTGCGACCAAAATTCTTTCACGAACTGAGTTTTTTTAGGAAGATGGAAATAAAAGATTTTTTTCTGATCAAATTGAGCTTTTCGCCTTGAAGCTGTAAATTAATTACGTTGAATTTTGCGAATAAATATGTCATGTAAGCAACATCAATCTTAAATTGTTGCAATCTCTTTGAGAGCTACATCTTTCTCTTCGAAGACCTCAAGTACAGAGTCCAAAGCATTCGAGAACCTACTGAGGCAGGCGCCTTTGGAAAGCCAGCGAACCTCGTTGTGTAGAAGCAAGCGGCTGAATTCTTCATCGTTGTCTCATTGGCCTTACAAAACTGCCTGAATAATTTATCATTGAGACCATCACTACGAATCTTATTCAGAGTAGAGATGGTATATTGTAATGACTGATGCAAACGGTGGCTGGGGTGTTTTGCTACTAATTGCTATCTGTGAATCACGCAGTGAACAGCTCAAATACTTGGTAAATCTTTCATTAAAAGAGCGATGAACCCACGATGACGACCCACCATTGCAGGAGCTCCATCGGTGGCAACAGACATAATGTTCGCAAAAAGAATATTTTTCTCTTTAAAATAATCTTTGACAGTATGAAAAATGGATTCACTTTTAGTATGTACAATCAAGGATTTTGCAAAAAGAACCTCTTGAATAATTTTTCCATCCTTCACAAACCGGACCTATGCTAACAGTAAAGCCTTATTAGAACTTGCAAGATTGTTTCATCAACCTGAAGAGAAATTCGATGAGTTTCAAAAGTTTGCATAAGGAAGCTTCAACATCTTTAGCCATTTCATCAATTCGTCATCACTGTATCATTGCTAAATGGGACGTTTTCTAAAATGCTGAATACGGCTGAATGGTGTAAAACCGCTTTTTAAACTTTCTTGATAGTCTATTGTATCAACTCTTCGCCGAAGGTATAAGCTTTCTCCGATTTAGCAATTAATTTTGATATATTATAAGAGGCTATCAAACCATTGTCGCACTGTTTTGATGACGTTACTACTAGGACACACGATGCTTTCAGGAACTTGTCCCTGATGTTCGTGACAAACCACAAATCTTTATTTTGTTTGTCAGAATGAAATTCTTGGCAGATGCTTCTGCAAAAGAGACGCTTTCATTGCCTCATTAGATAACACTTTTTACAGAGTAAACACATCGACAGTTACAAGTTCAAAGACAAAGAAATGAATCCAAACTTCAAGTACGTGTAACTCTGTATTGCGAACATTTCTTTTTATTAAGCGACATGGTTGGCGGCAGCAAAATATGATGAGGGAAAGATAACCATTTCTCAAAACTAATAATTCGCGATCACAATAAGAGCAATTTCCTGGGTGACTGGCCAAACAAACAATGGAAGTAAATCGAAACAGAAAAAAAAAAAAAAAAAAAAAAAAAAAAAAAGAAAGGAAGCGAACTAAAAGCAACACAAATCCAGCATTCATATTGAAAGGACGCTCAACGCATGCGCTGCGATTAGAAAGCGCGCGGAAATAGCTGGCGCATGCGCTTGGCTGGTTGGTATCGCAGAAAAACCATACTGTCGTATTCTTCATAGTCATCCTACCTAGAATATAAATTCACATCACCATTCTTAGTCACCCAAGTTCGTTTTATTGCTGGTACAAATGGTGTAAACCGGCTAATCAATTTAATAAATTTTTTGGGAGTTTCAAAATTAAGTTCGAATGTCAATACTTGCTCATCGGACGCCCCCCTCTACCGCCCACAACATGCTCACCGCCCCTATCGCCCAAAACAAGTTCACCGCCCCTCAGCATTCCTTTACTGCTTCGTTGAGAAACAGTGATTTAAACCAAACAGAAAAGAAAATTGACTCTTGTGGCAAATGACATGGATGATGTATAACTTCTTTGCCCAGAGTGTTTAGAAATTAAAGTAACATGCTGGCTTAACAAATGGAAAGTTTATATAAAGGAATAGCATTCAAATTCGAAAATAGTCTCAGAGCTAACTGAATTCGTGCGTTCTTCAAAACACTTTATAATTATTTCTATTTCTTGCCATTCATATAAAAGAACTAAAAAGTACACTCTGCACAAAAAAAAAAAAAAAAAAAGTCTAAATCTCCTGTTTTACTGGGCCAATTAATGGTACTGTTCTGTGTATATATGCATGAATGTATGAGTTCAATGTATGTATGTATATATGCATGCATACATACGTATATATGCAAGTACGAATATGTACTTGCATCTTTACATGTATATTCAGGTATGCATGCATATATGCAAGTACGAATGCATGTGTGTATATACATATACACATATATGCATACAATTCTGAATCCGGCCCCGATAACAGAACAGTTTAAATTTAATCAAAATCGTAAAAACAGCCTTGTATTTAGCATAAGTATAATGAAACACTCAATCGATTTCGAGGGCAGCTAAAGGTCCCTTCTCATCAGGAGAAAGAAATACCTAGAAAGAAGAAAATAAAGGAGAAGGAGTCTCAGAAACACGTGATCCTTATCAGCCATTGCACGTGGTTATAACTGGATTTTTAATCGGAGTTGCACTGGCCGCCTACTTTTACTGAGCCAAATTCGAAAATAGGCGGCCAGTGCAACTCTGATTAAAAATCCAGTTATAACCACGTCCAGTGTTGATAAGGACCACGTGTTTCTGAGACTCCTCCTTTATTTTCTTGTTTCTAGGTATTTCTTTCTCCTGATGAGGAGGGACCTTTAGCTGCCCTCGAAATCGATTGAGTGTTTCATTATACTTACGCTAAATACAAGGTTGTTTTTACGATTTTGATTGTCACATTAGCGTGTTTCTCTTCTAGTCCAGTTTAAATTTAATTTTCGTTTTGCATATCTTAAAAGTGCTGCTTAGAATATATTATATTTGTATACAGCATTGTTTTGACATAAGTAGTGTGACATAAAAACCGGACTTTTCCTGAAATGACATATCGATATTTTCCACATTTCGTTTCTACTATTTAAATTATAATTTAAGTAATAAATTTGGTAAAATTTGGTATGAAATTTACTAAGAAATTAAAAAATTTATTTTGGCGCACGTTTTCTGTTTGCGCCGAAAATAATTTACTTGGTGAAATTCTTAATTTATGGTAATCTATTTCTCTTTCCCTTTCGTTGTGTACGAGCGGAAAGAAAAAGGTACATCGTTCATTCTTTCAAATAAATTTAATAAAGTGCGTAAACCACATCTGGCGTTATTATCGCTTATAACAAATATGCCAAAAACGCGCCAATATATAAATTCACATATCTTGGGAAATTTTGAACAAGAAAAAAAAACTAATTTTTTGCAAGTGTGCATAAAAATGCATTTACTTTAGGGTGACGGTATAAATTTTATGAGTTAAAATTCAGTTTTTTAGAAAAGTTTATAAAAATTACTATGAAAAATTTCTGGAACGAATTCTTACTGGTTTAGCCCAGAATGTTCTCGAACACAAGCCAATAGCTATATAAACCTTGCTGGTACGCGGAGTAGACAGTGTTTAGCAGTCTATCGATTCAATTGTCGAGTGTTTCGGAGTCCATCGACTTGATAGTCAGTTAGTGAGTGTCTACTCGAGTCAGTTAATACTCAGTGAGCGAGTGTCTCGTAGTCTAGTGTCGAGTTCATCGAGAGAGTCTCTTATAGTGTATCGCGAGTTGGTGCATCGTCGAGTTTCATCTTAGAGTGTGTTGAGCTGCGAGAACGACCGAACCGAGTCCGGAGCTCGAGAACTGAGTCGGGGGGGGAGGTGTACTCTGGTGCTTTGTCGTGAAGCTGTCTTCACCGTGATAGATTGAAGACTGTGTCGCTGATCGTTTCAGCGTTTTTATAATAGTTCTTCGACGACTGTAAAAGTGATTTCGGACCTGCGTTGAATAATACTAGCTAATAAATTGTGTTTCCATTCTTCATCAAGTGCTGTTGTCGTTATTCACTCCAAATCCGCGAACCCGTATGTACGTGAAGAAAAACGTAACCAGTACTACGGTAACAGGTTTGCTTTTTATCCAATTATCGAAAAAAATTGGTTCTTTTTTTGGAAGAAAAGTAATTAAGGAAGAGAGAAATGGAGAAGAGAAAACGATATTAAAAGCTAAAGAATTAAAAGAATATTACGAGCCGAATAGAAATTTTTTTAAATGTTTCTGTTTAGAAAGAGGGGAAAAATAGGTATTAAATTAAGAAATATAGTTATTATCATAAGAAATATAATTATTAAAAAATATTGCAAGCCAAAGAGTTTTAATATTTCTATTTCGAAAAATTGGGGAAAAGGTGTTAAATTAAGAAATACAGTTATGTTTTTAATAAGTTATAATTACTCATTTTTAATACAATTCAGAAATTTTGGGAAAATATGAAATTTCTTTAAATATTAAATTCTAAAGGATGAAAGAAAAATTATGTAGCTTCTGGACAGTTAATACTCAAAAGTATTTGCAATATAATACACGTGAAAGTGACCATATGATCACATTTTCATCATATATAATATTGCTATGAATTTTTGAATTTGAATAGTTAATTTTAGTAGAATTATAATTAAAATTTAATTTCTCCGTGGAATGCAACGAAAGACATATTTTCAGAGAAAGCTACGCCGGAAAGTTGAATATAAAGGAACATGTGCATTTAACATTGAGTAAATATGTATCTGGGTAATTTGTATTCAAATTGAATATATGTAATTGACCACTATATTATCTGAAATCTTAGTTCCATTCTCATATTGCTTTCCTGTCTCGAGAAGCAGAAATTACTTGGAAATATATCGCGACTGGTTGAAATCTATAAAAAAAACCAGAGAGAAAACATCTCAGCTTAGTTGTTTCGTTAGTTGCTTAGTTACTGTTGTTGCAAGTTGTAGTTCCGCGTGAACTGAGATAAACCGGAGTTAACTTTTGCTTTAGATATACGCTTTGCATTGCGTTGTGTTTTAAACTTTTTAGTAATTTGAAGTATAACTACTTATTATACTGCGTGATATTGTGAACACTTGTACGAATATCTCTAGGGAAAATTACAGAATTTTGATATATTTCTTTTGATAAGAATAAATTTTATTAACCTATTATCGAACTTAAGCATTTAATGAAAATTTCAAATTTTTATACTGAGTATTTTCAATAATTTAAAAATTTCGAATGTCACGGAAATATTTTAATAAACTGAATATTATATTTAGTTACTGGATCACTAAAACTTTGTTGTAGTTACCTGTTCTATAAAATAGGAGTACTTCATGTTAATTATTTAGAAAGTAATCCTGTGTTGCGATATATCACATTCATGGCACTTTAATATGTTACATTCACGTCACTCTATGGAGTTATATTAAAGTCGCAATGTATGTCGCATTACATGTATGTCGCATTGTGACGCCTCAGCAATACCACAGTGTAACTTCACAACAGCGTCGCAGCGTGACTAAGCATCAACTTTACAGTGTGACTTCAAAACAATACCACAGTGTGATTTCACATCAACGTTCCAATGTGACTTCACATCAACGTCGCAATGTGAGGTTATACGAGGGTAAGTTGAAAAATAAGTTTCCCTTACGACTGTGGTCAGAGTTGTGTATGAAAGTCAAAAAATAGAATGAGACATTAAAGATATGACATACCTTTATTTTATTATTCTCGAACGAGTACGTTGAGACATTTGTCATATCGCTTGATAAGCTTCAAAAAGTCCTCCAAGAAGAATTCAGGCTTTGCATATGGAAGAAGCGTTGAACAGCTATGTGCGAAAGGCGACACAGCAGAAAAACGTGTAAGTCACCGATACACCATTGGGTAGAGGTCGCTGCAAATCAAGAAGATGGCGCTGTTGCAGTTGCCTGCGCCAAAGCGGAGACCAGCCTCTCATTTGAGCCCCGGTAGGTATGGAGAGAAGGTGCGTTTTGAAGTGGTCAAAGGAGGAAGTGAGAGCGGTTTATCCGCTATGAATGGGCACGTGGAGTATGAACAGAAATTCATAAACCGCCTCGTGGAAGTGTTATGGGCCAGGTGTAATGTCGAAGCAAATGGTGCGGAGATGGTGTCGCACATTCAGTGATGGACGTCAGCAAGTGGAGGACATACCGAGAGCTGGGACGGACGCGCACGGCCACTACAGATGCAAATGTCAGGAAGGTGGATGGATGACATGATTAGAGCGAACCGGCGTATCACCATCGATGAAGTAGCGGAAGAACTTGGAAATCTCACATGAGCGAGCTCAAAACATCATCCACGACATTCTTCGATACAGAAAAGTGTCAGCACGATGGGTGCCCGACAATTGACCTCGACACACAAGGAACAATGCATGGGGTCAGCCTGGAACATCTGTTGCGTTACCATGAAGATGGCAATGACTTTCGGTTTCGGATTGTGACGGGGGATGAAACGTGGGTCCACCATTCACGCCAGAATCGAAGGCCGCATCTATGGAGTGAAACATCCGTCATCACCTGTCCGAAAGAAGTTCAAGACAACTCCCTCTGAAGGTAAAGTGTTCCTCACATTTTCTGGGACGCCCAAGGAGTTTGTTGCTGGACTTTTGGAGGTTGGAACCATCAATGCTACGCGCTACGTGACTTCTGTCGAAAATTGAAAGAGGCGATTCGGAAAAAGCGGGCCTGGTTTCTCACATCTGGCGTTTCTGCTGTTGGATGACAATGCCAGACCACATTCGGCGACGCAACGCAAAACCATATTGCAACTCTTGGTTGGAGCGCCTACACCATCCGCCATACAGTCCTGATCTCGCACCAAGCGACTTCCATCTGTTTCCGGCTTTGAAGAAAAAATCTCGGGGAAGGCGCTCTGGAAGCAATACGGAAGTGAAAAACAAGCCGTTTCAACGCTTCTTCCATATGCAAAGCTCTGATTTTTTCCTGAAGGGCTTTTTGAAGCTTATCAAGCGATATGACAAATGTCTCAATGTACTTGGTACTTATGTGGAAAAATAAAGGTATGTCATATCTTTAATGTCTCATTCTATTTTTTGACTTTCATACACAACTCTGACCACAGTCGACAGGGAAAACTTATTTTTCAACTTACCCTCGTATAAACGCAGTGTGACGTCACAAAAAGTGGACATTAAGCCATGCCTACAGCGTCACTGCGATATTGAGATCGTCACATTGTGACACATTTGCAATGTCGCAGCGACGTCGCTGTGTTGTTGCAGAAGGTAGATGGCGGACTATTGTTAGAGCATCAAGCAAGAATGTCCCTAGAATGAATAGTCCAGAAAAAGCCATAAGCGAAAACTTATTTGAATTTGTGCTTTTACCATTTGGTAAGAAAATTTTACTATTTGCGTAAACAAAATTTAACTTGCAGTAACCATATAAACTGCCCTCCAAAAGTAAAGGAACAACAGCATGTTTTTCAAAGCTCACCATTACAAAAATGTCAGAACATTTAAATTCACAGTTTATATGCATGATAGTAACTAAGTTTAAGAAATTATCTACAGAAACCATTGCTACCACTTTTATTTTCTAGAAATGAATACTTATGTTGGAGTTGTAGAAAAAATGCTAAAATTGTAAGTTTTGTTCACGAGTGTTGATCTTCATTTGTTATTAGCAGTTTCGTTAACACGATCTTGGAGCATACAATGTTCTATATGAAAGTTCCTCAACAGAGGGGACAACCACACTCTGCTACCAAATGTTGGTATGTGATTTGGCATATAAATGATATTCTATAAAGAATTATCTACTTCTAATAAAAACACATAGATATATGAAAAGAAAACTTTATTAAAGAAAATTAGTCATAAGAAACCTTATCGCTTTCTACAAAACCCTTAACAAACTCTCTCTCGATGCCAGATCCCTTTTTTAATTCATTCTTTTTACAATTTAATATCAATGTTGCCAAAATATTAAAACTTAAATTATACTTTATAAACAAATACTATCAGTAATTACTGTTCTTGTGTTCAGCTATCTTAAGGTCTTCCTAACCTGAACTTTCAATTTTCTGAAAAAAGTACTATAAATTTGCATCTCTAGAAATTATTCATGTCCCAGCCGCCAGGAGAAATCAGATGAATATGATTAATATTTCTTTAATTTTAATTAATTAACGTTGTAAACTGAAGCGAGATTCCGGTACATGAAATCGATGGAAAAGCCTCGTGAGAATATTACAATTTCTTGGCAATGGCTCTGTGGCAACAAATCGAATAACATTTTATGTTGCTGTTTTTGAAAGAAGTTTCGGTTTTGATGCGTACTCTTTCCTTGACCTACAACAACATACTCCGAAACTAATGTGAAACAAGTTCGTGAAAATAATTTATTTCTTTAGCTGGATCTTCGCTTATATATAAACTTCCTTTTCGAATCAAAACATGGAATCTCCAGGATTAAGTACCGACGACTTAAATAGTGAGTGCGCTTGTTTCTGCCTGCATTTGTTTCAAGAATGGGTAATATTCGACTTTGTGTTATGCCTATGAGTTTTTGTCATCATTTTGAAAATGTGTTTAATTTAAATGTAGCATTTTAAGTAAAATGTATAACGATTTTTGTTTTTAAGGCTCCCTTGATTGTTACACAAATGGGCTTCCGATGTCACCGAGTTCGAAGACTGGTTCATTTGCAACTAAAGTGAGTTGCTTTTTAAGAGGCTAAAGTGCAATTTTATCTCTGTAATTTTCATAATTTAAAGTACAGTGAGGCCTCTCATAATAATTACTTTCTGAAGAAAACTAGTCATAACAATGACTAACAATTAATTTATTAGTAATAACTTGATAAAAAACTATGATTAATGGTAATTATTTTTAAGGTGACCACCTCCAGGAAAGATTAAAATCTGAAATAACACGTGGTTACCTTAGAAAGCTTTTATGTGTTACATAACAAAAATATGTTAATGCATTTCACAATAATATATAATTTCATGTATTTTTATTTTGGAAATTAAATTTTAATTGTCTATAGAATACAATGAATGAGGGATATATTTTAGAATGCAAGTAAATTCTTTAGCATAACTAATAGTAATCTTATGGATATTTGACAAGTTATAAAAATGTTTAGCAAAATAAATCCAAAAATTAATTTAAAGTACAGTGCAAAGTCTGTAATCCGGATGCCCATTATCCAGAATGATCTATAATCCAGACCTCAAAGCCACAAACTTTTTTTTTTTTTTCTGTATTATGCTTTATGTATGCGCGTAATGCATATAGCACAAAAAATGAAGCAACTTGAACAACTTACATTAAAAGAAATGTTTAATAAAGTAAATAAATAAATATTAAGTTTTTTTGTTTTTTGTAAATTTTGATACCCTTTAGATCATTTTCATCTTTTTACTTGTATAATTTCTGCATGCTATCTTACCAGATTTAAATTGATCATCTATAATCTGGAAAAACCCTTAATCCGGAATCGCTGAAGTCCCGACGAGTGCGGATTACAGACTTTGTACTGTATATAAATATAAGGTGAACCTTGTAGCTGTCATCTCTGAAAGTGATTAATACTTCTGAGAATATTAATAGCTTTATAAGATTACCATTGCAGAAGATTAAAATTCTGATAATGGTTATCTTAGAAACAAATCAGTATATTTCGTTAACTTATCCATGTCCCAATTCGAGGCCTTGTATATCATGTAGGCCTCAACCCAATTATTGCATAGCCTGAATTTAGAGTCCAAAGTTCCTAAATTTATTTTAAAATTATTCATAATCCTGTACCTCCATTCTACCAAAAAGGTGTGGAAAGCAGTCATTGGGGTTCTTGAAGTATAATTAATTTAGGGTTCATACTTTGTTAAGCTTTGTTTAGGGGTATAGGCAGCAGCGTAGCTAGGGTGGGGAGACATCTGTCCCCAGGCGCAGCATCCAGGGACTGCCAAACTGAGGTTATGAAATTTTAGAATGAAATGCTTCCCATTCTTGGCACACAGAAAGGGGCACAAAATCTTCAGTTGTCCACGAGCACTGAAAACCCTAGCTTTGCCTCTGGGTATAGGTGTCTTAATGGATACATAAAATGATTGGCAGATACGTGATGTCAGGAGAAGGCAAACCGTGACTCTCAAGTCTCATGAGGCTTTTAATTTACATACAAATGAAATAAAATTGAAAATGAATACTGTGATAGATGAGTCTTGACCAATGTAGAGTCTGTTTTCTAATGTACTGTCTGAAAGTCCTAGAGAAGATACGAGATGATTGCCACTTATAAGTCAAATGCATAGAGAATATTTCAGATGCCATCCTTGAAGGCATAGAAAAAAATCATATCACATTCATTAAAACTGTCATTTGTAATTTATGATGCAAAAAGTATGACTGGAGCAAAAAAAAAAAAAAAAAGGGTTTTAATTTGAAAAGGAAAAATTAATAATGAAGTGGTTATTTTATATTCATCAGAAAGTACTTCTATTTGAGAGCTTTCCAGAGACTTTGTATTAAAGCGTTTTGTTTCTTAAATAAATGAAATTGAGCTAATGCTTGATAACAAGGATGTTCAATATTTATTTATTTTTCCATTATGCACCTTTCATGCTTTTTGGCACCTGGGAAAGAAAACAAAACAGATGCGGAAACCCCATGATGGCTACATCCGGGGATTAAACCCTTTGTCTGTCTGTAGGTTTAATATAACACATTTTGTAATGTGTTTACAATTAATATACTTGCCAAAATGCATGGCAGGCGCATAACAAAAAAGTACAGTTTAATGTTCATAATTTCCAGACTATAGCTCCATTACGAGGCGAGGGAAATATTGTTGTTTCAGTGTTATTTCAAACAAAAGAAATGAATTCTGTTCATTGAAGATTTAGAGAAGGTAGCCTCAACTCACTTCTTAAACATACCTTAATATCACCAGAAAAACGGTGATCTCATTAACAAAAATTATTTACTTTTAAGACAGCAATTTTAAAATGTGAAAATTTCCTTCAGTGACAGGGGTTGGACAAAAATATGGAAATACCTTTAAAAAAACATGTTTCTTTGCTTAATATGGTGTAGGAAACCCGTTGGCATCCAAAACAGCTTGCAGTCTTCTTGGAATGGATAAATACATTTCCTGTATGTTTGCCAAGGGAATATTATACCATTCTTCCTGCAAAACGGTGGCAAGTTCAGATAACGATGTTGGCGGTGGATAACGAGAACGCACTTTCCGTTCCAATGTAGACCACAAAGGTTCGATAATATTCAGGTCTAGTGACTGTGGTGGCCAGGGGAGATGGGACAATTCATCCTCGTGCTCAGAAAACAAGTCCTGGACAATGTGAGCTCTGTGAACAGGGGCTTTGTCGTCTTGGAAGACACCATCACCATCGGGGAACAAAGTTTGTACCATGGGATGAACTTGATTGGCCAAAAAATGTTCACATAAGTCTTGGCAGTCATGTGCCCTGAACAGTTATCATGGGGCTAGCAGAGAACCACGATATGGCTGCCCAAACCATAACAGAACCCCCGCCATGTTTCACTCTTGGCAACAAGCAGTCTGTATTATAGGCTTGAGATGGCGTTCTCCAGACGTAAACTTGGCCAGAAGTGGGAAACAATGTGAAAGAAGACTCGTCAGACCATATTACTCGCTTCCACTGCTCTATAGTCCAGGCTATATGACTTAAACACCACCTTTTCCTGTTACAGGCATTAGCATCACTGATGAGTGGCTTCTCAATTGCAGCACGGCCAGCAATTCCCTGTTTATGAAGCTCCCTTCTAATTGTTTTGGTACTCACAGGGTTCGGTAACACAATATTAATTTCAGCAGTAACTTTTGCAGCTGTGGTCTTCTTATTTTTCGTCACAATTGCCCTTAATGATCATCTGTGACGATCACTCAGGACACACTTTCGTCCGCACTGTGATTTAGCAGATGATGTTTTTCCGCTTTTCAAATATGCGGAATAAATCTTCGATACAGTATCTCTTGAAACACTAAACACCTTGGCTACTTTGTTTACGGAAGCACCTACCATACGTGCTCCAACAATTTGCCCACGTTTGAAGTCTGTTAACTCTGACATAATGCAATGACAACCTCACATAACAGTACTCCGACAACAACTGAACTGTTTAGCACATTTACGAAGTTGTATAGGGTCGCGTCAGTAGTCAAAAATGCCAGCGCCACCTACATATTTCATTAAAATCAATCTTTCTTTTCAAACATGCATTTCACAAGGTGTTTCCATATTTTTGTCTATTTTACAAATGATAAAATGACCAACTTTTATTACAAATACTTTTAATGCCAATATGAAGGAGTTAATTTTTTCTCTGTTGGCAGAATTAATTAATTCTTATTGGCAGAATTAATTTTGAAATACTGATGATGGATTTGACAATCAGAGATTTAATAAACTCTAAATTTTTTCATGTTAGACTGCTATAAAAGACTTGTAAGAGACTCGATGATTTTCAAAGCTTTCAGTCTTTGGAATTTATATCAGGAGTACAAAAATTTGCATTTGTTGTTTTCAGTATTTTTGAGTATGTTAGAGCAGTTTGTAGGGTTCTGCTGTGTATAGAAGGTTAATTCATGTCCTTCAGACTCTACTGAACTGATAAGTGAGTTGTTGCTCTAGTTTGAATTAAGATGACAAAGTCTTAGGCTGCTATCACACGTCGGTTTGTTTCGAAAGAACAACTGTTTGGAACAATTTTTCTGCTTTGTCACAACAGCCAATCATCACAGCTCGCTTTGGGGTTAACACAGGGAAAACTGGTTCCCCATTACAAGCAAGCTAACAACATTCGGCGCTGATAGCTGATTGGTTGAAAACAAACAATTTGCAACTTTTTTCGAAAGGAAGGAAAAAGTCGCACGTCTTTCTTTCAATAGTAAACCCGGCAGAAAATTGTCCCAAACAGTTGTTCATGTGAAACAAACGCCGTGTGATATGGGCCTTAGGGAGGCTAAAATAATTTTTTATTGAACTCTTTAACAGAAGGCATCACTTATGTTACAGAATTTAATTCCGAGTATTTAAAATTACAAAAGATGAAGTTAAATTCAAGTAATGTAAATATGATTTTATACACAAAAAATAGTCTCCTTAAGTTGGCTAGCAAAATGACTCATAGCCATAATAAACTTTGCCAGAACTGGTGAAAACGTAAAATTGCAAACAAGCCTGCTAGAAGCTTATCTCTGCAACATTAAAGCCCATGTTTTAAGTATTCCATGATTAATTTGCATTCTGGTGAGGATTATGCAAAGAAGTTATAGTAAAGGTTCAAATCATAATAATTGGTTAGCTAACATAGCGCCAACGTAAATCGCCAAAAATCCGTGCAACCGTGTACCAAAGTAGTACCTTATTTTCTAACATGAATTTCATTAAAAGTAAATTCAAAAGCCACATTATGGATGCCATTTTAGAATCATGCCTTAAATTAAAATTTTTTTATTATTATAAGGTAGATATAGGAAAAGGAATGCCAACTTATTTCTTATACAGTCAAAAGTCTTTAATTCGGACACCCATAATCCGGAATGATCTATAATCCGGACCTCAAAGCTACAAACTTTACAAACAACGCGACGCATGTGCGTAAGACCTTTACGGCTGCTAATATGCTTGTGCACATGCGAAAAATACGTTTACGAGTGCGCGT